CACACACACACACGCGCGCGCACACACGCGCGCGCACACACGCGCGCGCACACACACACACACTTGCATGGGAACTCTGTTACACCAGCGCCTCCTGGTGGCCAGATTCGGTGACACGCCAGTGTCAAAGATGTGACTCTCCCAGAATGGCTGAATAGAGACTGAAAGAGGATGAGAAGCCTGAATTTCACCACCAGCCTCATCTGCAGGTCCTGCCATGGCCTCCAGGGGTACCCAGCCCATCTTTTGACCTCGGCTGGACTTTAGGATTCCTGAGGTCTTAAGTCTTAAAAATTCTTGTGATTCTCAGATATGTTTTTATGACATGGTGAATTTATCCACATGTTGCTAAATTTGAAGAGCAATTGTGATGAGACTCCCAATATCATACATACACACATATATGTATATGTATGTGTGTGTGTGTGAGAGAGAGAGAGAGAGAGAGAGAGAGAGATCGATGTGAGAAACGTCAATAGGCTGCCTTCTGCACATGCCCGGGACTGGGGTCAGGATTCGAACCCGAAACCTAGTATAAGCCCTGACTGGGACCAAATTCTTGACCTTTCGGTGAATGGAACAATGCTCCACACTGGCCGAGGCATAAATGTCATTTTTCAAAAAGAGAAGAAAAAAGGTGAACTTCAAAGCACATAGTCATTCTTTCTCTCCCTCCCTCCATACTTCCCCGCCCCCCTCCCCCCAAAGCCGCTCTGCCTGCCCATCGCCCTTCACCTGAAAATGGAAGATGCCAGCATAGTTTTTCTTGAAGCTCTGCCCCCTGGGCACCACGCGGTACAGCAGCTTGGGGCACGTGGTAAGGGAGCCGATGGCAGCCAGCAGCCAGCAGTCCCCTGCAAAGGCAGGCAGGGGCTCCCCCTGAGCGCTCCCATAGTGTGGGGGTCCAAATCCGACCACTGAGGAGCAGGAGCTGGTTCTGTGGCCCCTCCCCAGCTGGCCCTCCCATTAAGGAAGCTAATGGGGGGCGGGGGAGCAGGGCAGGAGGGACAGCCTCGGCGGCGGTGCGGGTGCAGTAAGCTTCTCCCCCATTTCTTTTAGGCGAGGGATTTACAAATGAGAGCCGTGTGCTTTTGTTTTGGGATTTGGGGAGGAGGCATTTTTGGCCTCAGTGTAGCTCCCTGCCTCCTTTGGGAGAGGGCCAATCATCTCCCAGGGCCCCCACCTCTACCCCATGGTTACACTGGTGCAGCCAAGACGTCTCTCCCTGATGTCACCCACATAATATTGGAGACCCAAGGGGCTCAGCCTGTACCCCAGGTCTCTGGGGCCAGGTGTTGGGCAGTGTGCCCGGGCTGAGGCCATCCATTGCCATCTGTCCCCTGGGATCTCAGACCCCGTGGGCTGGGGCTGGGGGGCAGGTGGAGCCCCATCGGTGAGTCCCCTGGGCCAGGTGGAGGCTGAGGGCCCTGGGCCCGCGTCTGGGATGACCCACGGCCTCCAGGCTGCGAGGTGCCGGGAGGGAGGCAGAGGGTGGGGAAGGGAGGTTAAGGACACATCAATCCTCCGTTGCCAAAGGGGCACCCAGGGAGGAGCCAGTTTTCTTCTCCAGTAGCCCGGGGCTGCTCCAGTGCACGGGGCCCGAGGTCTCCTTGGCCTCTGCCCTGCCCACACCCTGCTCTTCCCACAGCCACAGGTCGGAGGGAACTCAGCCCGGAGGGAACCCGCCCTGGCCTTATCCCTGAAGGTGCAAGGAGGCATTTGGAGGAAACATTGGAAAAGGACCAGGTTTAGGGAGGACAATCTCTCTCGGGACTGTGCACGGGAGCCTGTGGGAGAGGGGCCGAGGGGCCACGCTCTGTACCTGAGAGGCCAGCGGGGAGCTCTGACACCTGCTGTGGCTCCAAGATATAACTCTCCTCCCCTCAGGAGGTGGGGCCTCCTCCCCTCCCCTTCAGGGTGGGCGGGACTTCATGCTGTGTGTGTGTGTGTGTGTATGTGTGTTGTGTGTGAGTGTGTGAGAGTGTGTGTTGTTGTGTGTATATGTGTGTGTATGTGTGTTGTGTGTATGTGTGTGTGAGTGTGTGTGTATGTGTGCATGAGTGTGTATGTGTGTATATGTGTGCATTGTGTATGTGTGTGTGTGTGTGTGTGAGAGTGTGTGTTGTTGTGTGTATATGTGTGTGTATGTGTGTTGTGTGTATGCGTGTGTATGTGTGTTGTGTGTATGTGTATGTATGTGTGTATGTGTGTTGTGTGTATGTGTGTTGTGTGTATGCGTGTGTATGTGTGTTGTGTATGTGTGTTGTGTATGTATGTGTTGTGTGTATGTGTATGTGCATGTGTATGTGTGTTGTGTGTGTTGTGTGTATGTGTGTGTTGTGTGAATTGTATGTTATGTGTATGTGTGGTGTGTGTATGTGTGGTGTGTGTTTGTGTGGTGTGTGTATATGTGTGTCTTATGTGTCTTGTGTGTTATGTGTATGGGTGTTTGTGTGTTATGTGTATTGTGTGGTGTGGTGTCTGTATGTGTTTGTGTGTGTGTGTCTTGTGTGTGTTATGTATGTTATGTGTATTGTGTTATGTGTGTGTTGTGTGTATGTGTGTTGTATATGTGTGAGTGTGTGTGTGTGTTGTGTGTGTGTGTGTGTGTGTGTGTGTGCGCGCGCGTGTGTTCTCCTGAGAATAAGTGGTAAGACATCACAGCTTCCCCCTTGTTCTCTCTTGGATCACTCACTCTGGGGAAGCTGGCTACCATCATGGACGCGGACCCGTCAGCCCCGTCCAACCTTCAGGTGACCGCACCCCCGACTGGCGTGCTGACTGCAGCTGCCTCTCGAGGACCCCGCGCCAGCCCCCCGCCACCCCCCCCAGCGGTGCTGCTTCCGAGCTCCTGCCCCACAGAGACTTTAGGTGACAGCACGTTTGTGGGCTGTGAGTCACTGAGCCTTAGGTGATTCATTGTGTTGCGGCCAATAGCGAATATACCACCCCCCAGCCTACCCCCTGACCCAGAGGGCAGTGGGGAGGGCGGGACCCAGGTGAGGGGCAGCAGGAAGACCACCTGGCACTCTCACTGCCATCTCCTCACAAGGGGGTGACAGGGAAACGGAAGGTGTTGTCTGAACCTAAGGGCTCCCAGTTCCCCAGCCTCGAAAGACACTTTGGGCCCAGCCAGCGTGGCTCAGTGGCTGAGCGTTGACCTATGAACCAGGAGGTCACAGTTCGATTCCCAGTCAGACACACGCCTGGGTTGCGGGCTCGATCCCCAGTAGGGGGCGTGCAGGAGGCAGCCGATCCATGATTCGCTCTCATCATTGATGCTTTTCTCTCCCTCTCCCTTCCTCTCCGAAATCAATAAAAATATATTTTTTAAAAAGGCATTTTGGCACCCCCCACCTCCACGCTCCTCCCCAGTTCATCCCCGCCTCCAGGGGAGACCAGCCTCCCTGCTCCCCACTCACCCAGCACCCCCTGGCAGATGTCCGTGGGGCTGACCCCGTTCATAATGAAGTGAGGATTGTTTGTGATTTCCTGCAGTGAAGGAATAAAGGTGTCAGGGAGCCCAGGACACCCCCCTCCCTCCTCCCTCCCAACGACGTTCCTGGGGAAGGGTCCCCACCTCCAAGGTCTAGGGGGAGACGTGGGTAGGGGCCGGGGAGGGACAGGACCCGCTTGGCAAAGTTGTAGGTTGCGATAGTGAAGGTTGGCGAGGACTTTCCCGGGGGTTACTGAGAGGTTAGGCACGTGCAGAACTGTCCCCACCCTGATGGAGGTGGAGCCTCCTGCCAGGGCCAGCAGAGGGCTGAGGGGGACTGGAGAGGATCGGAGGGACAGGGCATCACTGCGCTCCGCCCTGCCCCCAGGCGCCCGCGCTCCCCTCCCAGTGCCCACACTGGGCCGCCGCCAGCTGATGTTCTGCACGTTTTTGGAGTTGGGGCCCAGGTCCTTGAAGCCCAGAGAAGTGGGTTCGGCAGGAAATACGGGGTCTTTGAACAGTTCCCCCCTCCTCAGACAGAACTCTCGCAGGTCCTCGAAGCTCTGGTTTCTGTAGTTGTGGGCGTTGTTGTGTTGGCCCACGCCCTTGGCCTTGAGTCTGTTGTGGCTGATGTGAGCCGCCATCCCCTTACTGATGAACACCGAATCCACTTGATCATAGAAAGACAAATAAGCCCATTAAAAACACGGACAAAAGATCTCCATCGATATTCTTCGGAAGAAGATATATAAATGGCCAATAATCACATGAAAAAAAATGCTCAACCTCTTTAGTCACCAGACAGATGCACATCAACGAGAGACCACCTCACACCCGCGAGGATGGCTGTAAACAAAGGCCGACAATGACAAGTGTTGGCCAGGAGGTGGAGACACTGGGGCCCTCGTACAGTGCTGGCGGGAACCAAATGGTGCTGCCACTTGGGAAAACAGTCTGGAGCAGCGGTTCTCAACCTGCGGGTCGCGACCCCTTTGGCGGTCGAACGACCCTTTCACGGGGGTCGCCTAAGACCATCCTGCATATCAGATATTTACATGACGATTCATAACAGTAGCAACATTACAGTTATGAAGTAGCAACGAAAATAATTTTATGGTTGGGTCACAACATGAGGAACTGTATTTAAAGGGCCAGAAGGTTGAGAACCACTGGCCTGGAGGCTCCCCAGGCAGTCAAACATAGAATCACCACAGGACCCAGCAATTTCACCCCTAGCTATATATACCCACGAGAAATAAGAACACATGTCCACTCAAAACCCTGTACACAAATGTTCCTAGCAGCAATATTTACAATAGCCAAAAAGCAGGGGGGAAAAACCCAAATGCCCACCAGCTGATGTATGGAATATACCTACAATGGAATATTTTTCAACATTTACTTTGCAACAAAAATAAATGAAGCATTGACACGTGCTACAACATGGATGAACCTTGAAACCATGATGCTCAGTGAAGAAAGCATTCACAAAGATCGTACATTGTACGATTCCAACAATATAAAGTGCCCCGAACAGGCCAAACTATATAGAAAGAAGATGAGGGGTTGCTGAGCACTTAGGAGAAGGGAGGAGTTGGGGGTTGATGGCTAAAGGGTACGGGCTTCTTCTGGGGGGGGAGAATGAAAATGTTCTAAAATTGATTGTGGTGATGGTGGTACAAAAATGTACGAAAACCGTTACATTCGTGAGCTGTATGGCATGTGGATCATATCTCAATAAAGCTGTTGGAAACATGATCCCCAGCCCTGGCCGGTGTGGCTCAGTTGGTTGGGCATCATCCTGGGCACTGAAAGCACAGGCCCAGGTTGGGGGCTCGATCCGCAGTAGGGGGCGTGCAGGAGACAGCCAATCAATGTTTCGCTCTCAGACATCCATCTCTCTCCCTCTCCCTCTCCCTCTCCCTCTCTTCTCCCTTCCTCTCTAAGAAAAAAAAATCAATAAGAATGTTTTTAAAAAATGACCCCCAGACCTTGCAGCAGACTCTGCCTCTTGAGGAGTGTGGAGATAATGGAGGGTAGAGGGCAGGAGGGCAGAGGGAAGGGGCTGCTCACAGGGAGGGGGAGTCCAGGCGGGGGCTGGGGTGGCTGAGTCTCTGACGGGAAAGGTCAGGCTGGCGGCTGGGGGCCCGGGACACCCTGCCCGCACGGCCTCCCGCAGAGGGACCACAAGCTGCTTGCATCCCTTCCCGAGGACGGCCTCCCACCTACAATGCAGGGGACTGGCTCCCGCTGTCACCAGCAGTGGACCCCGGACCAGAACCGGGAGGAGGAGGGAGAGGAGGGGAGGCCACATTGCTGAGATCACTCTGAATCTCCGGTCCTACCCCGCTGGCCCCCGGGGTGGTCCTTCCTCTGGAATAAGGAGGAGCTTAGGGGGAGGGGAGGAAGGACGAGGTCTAAACTAAACAGAGCCCAGCTGGGGCCAGCGTCTGAGAGAAATCTGAATGAGGAAAAGGAGGGGGACAGCTACAGAGAGGGCTGTCCAGAGGGGAGCCCGAGCCCCCCGAGGACTAGGGTCTCAGGGGCCAGAGCAGGGGTCTCCCCTATTCTCCCTCCCTCGAGCTGACCCCCAAGAAGAGCGGGAACAGCAGAGCTAAGGGTCCTGAGCACCTGTTCTGTGCCTCGCACACGGCCCTGAGGTAGGGCCATGCAGACCTCCGCTTACCAGAAGGGGAGGCAGGAGCCCAGAGGTCAAGTAGCTTGCCCAAGGTCACAGGAGGAAGGCTGCCCCCCCCCCACTAGGCCCTGACCTTTGCCCTTACCCCGCCTCCTGGAGGTGCCTGTCCTCAGCGGGGAGGCCTGTGCAGCCAGAGCCACCTTCCTCCGCTCAGGGGCTCGGCACCATTTGTGGCTGAACTGATGCCCCTTCCTCTTCCCACCCAGCAACCCATTCTCCCACCCCCGTCAGCGTCCCCTTGGGACTTCCCTGGGTCCAGTGATGACCCCTGTCGTCTCCTCTTGTTGGCCTGACAAGCCCAAACCTTCGGGCACGGGCGGCCTAGGTCCAGCTGCGTCGGACTGTTCCCAGCTCCATGCCTCTCCCAGAGCTGGTGCCCAGGAAATGGTGGGACCTACAGACTCCGACCCAGCACTGCCCACAGGCCAGGCCTGAGCACTGGTGAGGGCAGCGAACGGAGGTCCTGCCACAGCCCAAGGGCCTCGCTGGGGTCCCTGGGGGGTCCCTGGGGCCTGGAGGCTCCGGGTCCCACTAAGGAAAGCTTATTGTCCATAGGGATTAGGGTGGGTTTGCTGAAGATAGACTTGGGGTCCTGTCCTTGGCTCCGGAATTCCACAGAGCCTGTGGCTTGTGGTGGCAAGATATTGGGAATCCCCCTCAGAAAAGTAGCCTGTATAACAGTATTGGCTCCGGTTCCACAGAGCCTGTGGCTTGTGGTGGCAAGATATTGGGAATCCCCCTCAGAAAAGTAGCCTGTATAACAGTAAGAGTTAATAGTCTTCGAGGACTCGGCACAGGCGTGGCATGGTTAAAACATGTTACATGCATTAACTCATCGAGTCCTCACGACACCCTTTTGGCTAGGTTTACTGTTGTCTCCCCGCTACAGAGGGAGAAACCGAGGCACAGAGAGGTCGAGGCCACACGCCTGGTGGGCAGCAGAGGCAGGGCCGCACCTGGGCAGGCCGGTCCGCGCTCTCACCCAGCACGCCTGCTGCTCTCCTGGGACGGAGCCTGTGGAGGAGCAGATGTCGTGCTGGACAGAGGGCGGAGGTCCATCCCTTCCTCCATCTCACTCCAGCCTCTGGCCTGGCCGTCTGTTAAACCACGTCCCCTCAGCTGCGGGGGGCGACAGAGATGGATAAGGTGTTGGAAAAGGGGTTGGGAGGCTGCGGATTCCGCGTTAGCAGAGCTAGTGCCCTGGGCTGCACGGCCAGAGTGAGGAGCTGTGTGACCTTGGGCAGGTTGCTTTACATCTCTGGGCCTTGGTATAAAGAGGCTACTGTATCCTTCCTTGAAGGGTGTTCCAGGGTTAAGGGGTGCGACGCACATGGAAAAGATCGGTGTTTAGTAGGTGCTCAGAAAACGCTCCTCGCCTTCTCCCCACCGCCCTGGCTGGTCAGCTGGTATTGTGAGGGCCTCCTACTAGGATCGCGTGGCTCCCTGAACACCCTCGTTCTTGGGACTCATGGGTCGTAGGAGAGCAGCACCCGCACTCACCACGGTGGGGTTGTCTGTGTTCGTCTGTCTCCATCGCTAGGTTTGAGCGCGTCTCAGCCGGCCTTTGGGAACGTGGATTCTATTCTGGGCCTGGAGGGGTCAGAAGTGGACAGTCCCCCACATGGACTCCGAGAAGGCCCTCCCCAGGCTGTCCCTCCGCACGGTCAGCTCGCGGGCCACAGAGACAGGGAGAAGGGGCCAGCGAAAGAGGCCGCTCAGGCCGGGGATCGTCAGGGAGGTTCTGGGGAGTGACTGCCTCCTGTCACCTGCTCTGCGCTCACCCCCTCCCCTGGGGTGGAGGGCGCCAGGAGATCCTGGCTCTGGAAGAGTCGGGGTGGGGGGAGGGGCAGGGCAGAGGGCGGTGCAGCCAGGATCGGGGAGCTTTTCCTCTGGCCCTTCTCTCCACCTCTGTCTTCCGGGCTGGCCCTCGGGGCTTCTCTTAGAAATGGTCCAGGAAACTCCTTCCCACTCCCTCAGACGGGGGGAATAGGGGTGTGCTGGCGTGTCTGTGGAATGTGTGTGTGTGTTTCTGTGGAGTGTGTGTCTGTGAAATGTGAGTGTGTGTCTGTGATGTGTGAGTGTGTCTATATGTGAGTGTGTCTATGAAATGTGAGTGTGTATGTCTGTGAAGTATGAGTGTGTGTGTCTATGAAGTGTGAATGTGTGTGCCTGTGAAGTGTGTGTGTTTGTAAAGTGTGAGTGTGTCTGTGCAGTGTGTCTATGGAGTGTGAATGTGTCTGTGAAGTGTATGTGTATCTGTGAAGTGTGTGTGTCTGTGGAGTGTGTGTGTGTCTGTGAAGCATGTCTGTGAAGTGTGTGTGAGGTGTGTGTGTGTGTATGTGAAGTGTGTATGTGGGAAATGTGTCTGTGAAGCGTGTCTATGAAGAGTGTGAGTATGTGGTCTGTGAAGTGTGTGTGTGTCTGTGAGGTGTGTGTGTGTGTCTATGAAGTGTGTGTGTCTGATCTCAGAGTGGGGGCAGGGCTGTCCCCCCATCAGACAGAGGTGTGTGTGTCTGTGAGGTGTGCGTGTGAGTGTGTGTGTGAGTGTGTGAGGTGTGTGTGTTTGTGAGGTGTGCGTGTGAGTGTGTGTGTGAAGTGTGTGTGTGTCTGTGAGTGTGTGTGAAGTGTGTGTGTGTCTATGAAGTGTGTGTGTCTGTGAGGTGTGTGTGTTTGTGAGGTGTGCGTGTGAGTTTGTGTGTGAAGTGTGTGTGTGTCTGTGAAGTGTGTGTGTGTGTGTGTGTGAGTGTATGTGTGTGTTGGGGGACATGTGGCTCACTTCTCTGCGAGGAGCCAGGGGAAGGCTGTGGAGGGAGACCTGCAGGCCTTTCCCGAGGAGGGTTGGAGGCAGGTGGAGAACCCCGAGAGGATGAGCGTGGAGAACCTGTTGGCTTCGTTGCCGGCCCTATCGCAGGGCTGGCAGGGCAGGAATGACTCCTCCTCGGGCCC